TGTTCATTTTCTGTACATAATGAGGATATTTTGGCATTAATAAAAGATACCATAATTTCTGTTGGGTCTAGTACTATTAATTGATAGAGTCTCATTTTTCCTTTCAGAATCAATTCAGAAAGTTTTCCTACACAAGACTTTAATTTTTTTAACTCTGTTTGTGTGGTAAAAATATTCATCCTAAGGTATTATCTTCTCTCTGTATAAAAATTACTCAAGGAAAATGAATAGGAGGTAGTATGACCTGAATTCATTTGAGTTCTAGATACAGGCAATTCATATGTGTATACTGTAATTTCTCCTTTACAAAAACTGGTTCTCTCACTGCCTCAGCTGATAATTTCCTTGGACAATTTAAGTCCTTTTTGAGTTTTGAAATAAATTACTTAGTTCTTGAGTAGTTATCTTGATTGTTGATCACAATGTGTTATTATCTCCTAGCAATTTTTGAAAATCATTAAGAGTTCATAATTTATTTCTTCTGATTTGTTTCTGTAGTTGAATTTTCTGTAAATCTATTTTATATCCTACATAATTAAGAGAATCTTCTCTTTGTATTTTTTTCAGGAGCAATTTGTAATACACAACAAGACAAAATTCTCTTTACTTCATCAAACATTTTTTTCTTAGGTATCTGTGTCTGAATCAATTAATGATTGTTAGCAGTCAGGCATTTGTACTGGCCTGCCCTTGGGGTTCTGACAGGCTATGTCCTCAGCTGTCTCCACTAAGAGCACCTTCTATGTACATTCTCTGAGATCCCTTCTAAAGGGACCCTGCCTACCTCACATCTCTCTTTTTCTCACTCTGATTCTCTGCCTCTATGTCTCCTCTCTCTCTCTCTCTCTCTCTCTCTCTCTCTCTCTGCCTTTCTCTTCTTTTCTCTTCTCTTCTGCTGTTCCTATCCCCAGCTTCCCCCATCCCCTTCCCTTTTTTAATGTTACTTTTCCCCTAATAAAAAGCCCTTGCACATGAGTTCTGTTACATGGCATCTTTCTCTCTCATGCCACTTTTTTTTTAAAATGACAACAAAGATATGGTATAATATAGATTGAGGGAACTGTTTATGAATCATTTCTAATGGTTGTTGTACAAAATATTGATAAAAGGTCGGGCTGCTTGACATCACTTTTAAAAGAATTTTCCACTGATACCTTTTAACAGGCTGAAAATTATTATAAGTAGGTTCTGTAACAGCAAATTTTCTCTATCCTGTTCTTGTAAAGGTGTAGTTAAAACAGTCTTCTGAAACAGTCACTATAGTAGAGTAGACTTTAGGTAATAAAAATAAAAGGCAAGGGAGTTCCAGGCTGTACAGAGTCCGTTGGCTGAATCACCTTATCAATAGCTCTCATATCTATTTTTTTTTATTTTCCAGGCTTCTTTTTAATGACAAATATAGGGGACTTCCAAAGACTGATGAGTTCTTCAATATGTTGAGCCTTTAGCTGCTCTCTCACCAGGTGTTCTAATGTCCATAATTTTTTTTTATGCCAAAGGCCATTGTTCTATCTATCCAAGTTTGTCAGCTAACTATTTCAAAGGTACTGATGTTGGTACCTTTCAAAGATCAGCAGTTGTTGTACCCTGCCTATGTTTTATAGTCTCTTCTGAAATTTTATTTTGTTGTCTGAAGATGTTCTGTCATCTAGAGCATTATGGGTTTTAACAACGGGCATTAAATCTTTTAATTGCTCTGTGGAGGAGTTTTCTCAATGCTGATAAGGAATGATTGAACCAAATTGGAATCTGTGAGAGACCCTCTAAGGCATTTCCTGTTGGCAAAGGGTTTCCTTGCCTGTCCCATGTTGATCTTCATTCATTAGTCCAATACTGGCTTTTGCCACACCTTCTGCATATTCCAGGAGTCTGAAGACTTGTGTTTGGATTATCTCGAGGAAAAACATTGTTTCTAAGAATGTCTTGTCTACAAACCCTTTTTGGATGACCTTGTTTGCTGACCTTTCAATTTTTCTGAAAATTTTTGGAAAACACTTTTCCCATCAAAGTAATCGTAAGTGTGAGAGCCAATATCAGTATTTTGGACCCATTCATCTACAGGTTCTGATCTTACTTTTATAGGAATACTTGCCCTTTTACATTCTGAATTAGCAAAGATCAAATTAGTATTTGTCTAAATTCTCAATCTGAGAGCATTCTATTTATAGCTAAAGTCAATCTTGGTTAAAAAATATTAGTTTTATTTTATTTTTATTTTACCAACATTATGCAATCCCAGCTAAGTTGATTACTGCTTCCTTTAATTTTTCCATTTTCAAACCACCCATTGTGCAACTATATAGAGTCCTAACTCCCTGCATCATGATATTGTTTCCCATTCTTAACTTGCAAAAGATTTTAAAAAGAAATCAAACCTGATTGCCTCCCTACGGATTCCCAGGTGTCTCACCTGCTCTGCTGACTTTTCAGTTTTTCCATAGCTTCAACATTGGAGGTGTGTGTGTTTGAAGCCAACTACAGCCACAGGGATAGTGCTCAGCTGTGCAGACACGGACTTCGGGCGCTGAAAGGTGCCCAGAGCCAGGGTTGCAGAAGGCCTTCACTCTGCTGCACACCCAAGCTGAGGGTAACTGTGGCTGCTCTAACAACATAAGTGGAGGAGGAGTGAGCCCTCTGAAAAGTGCATGGGGAGATGCTGTTGGAAGAGCCCATGAGGCTAGAACATCGCATGGGAGGGCACAGGCTGCCTGGATAACAGAGCCGGCAATGGGCAGCTGCCTCAGGCTATTGTGGAGCCTGCAGGTGGCTGTGATGGCAGATTAGGGTGCTGGGGTGTGCAGCCCAAGTGTGGCTGTAAAAGAGACTACATACTGAAAAGGGCCCTAGTGAGAAAAGCCAGTGACCTGCAGCAGTTTGGAGAAATGGTGGCTTTAAAAGGCACCGCTTGATCTTGCCACACATTGGACACAGGTGAAGTGATTATTTATAGCGTTCTATTATTAAATGAAACTCAGGAGTCAGATATTGGGGTTCAAACCTGATAGATCCGAAGAACGACAGAGGAGCTATCAACTGAACCTGCCTCTTCAAATGCAAATCAAAAGGCCCACTAATAAATCTAAGCTCCTCTCTATTCTGTCCTGTGTTTCTCTATCCTAATCTGGGTCTATGGTTATTTCTGGCCAGTTAAATTTTGACTCTGCCTTCTGTTTTAAGGAGAATGAATTGCTGTATCTGAGGACAAAGCTAGAGAATATAGGTAATCCGATGTGTATCGGTATTTTCTTGTCAGTGACTTTAGAACTTGGACACATTTATTCAACTGAACATTAATTACATCACAGAACACCCCCATTTGTCTAAACTCTTAACTCTCTGGGTAAAATTTTCAATCTTTGCATCGTTGACATCTTAGAGTGATAGATTCTTTAGTGTAGATGGCTGAGTGTTCAGAGTATTATAGAATATTCAGCAATGTCCTTGACTTATCTATAGTATGACAATAACATTATTGTCCCCAATACCACCCTACCTCTCAAGTCTTGACAGGCAAAGTATTTTTAGATTCTTGCAAAATCTCTGGGACAGACCAATGAGGAATTTATCCACATTTAAAGATGACTTTTGTAGAGTGTTTGAATTAATTCATATAACATTTACCAAGGAATGTCAATTCACAAAGCACATTTCTATTTGGATGGACCTAGAGAGAGAAAGTGTGTCAGCATCCTCCAGATGCAATGAGTACCAGTTTCTTCAGTTAGAAATCTGTGGAGACCCTCTAGGGTTAGTTTTTCCAGCCACACTAAGTATTGTGGACAACCACAAATTGTTCCTGAATGAAACATGATGAAATATTAGCCTTTACCTGTGGGTCCATAATGAATAGCTGCAAAAAAAAAGATATTGAAAAATAAAAGGTATCTTCTTGCTCAATTGTATCCAAATATCATTCTAACCATATTTTTAAATATACTCGAACCTAACTTCCATTGTAATCTTGACTTGAAATGTAGTTGTACCCCCAATATCACTGTAACCTTGTTTTAAAGTACATGTTGCTGTCCTTTGCTAACAATGGTGGTTCTGGAAAGGCTTCGTTTTCCATTGAGAAGTAAACATCTGGGCTGGAGCTGAGTGGATTGGAATCATGTATTTTAACATTTGCATAAGGGGATTTTCAAATGAGGAGGTGTGCTTGTTATCTAAGGGAAGTGGGACTTGAAATTTCGGGCACTGATTTCCCATAGAGGGGGAAAATGGTAGAAAATCTCATTTTGAAATCTATATGTTGCTTTAGACCGAATTTCTCATCAGATGCTCAGGTGGCTTTAGCAGGAGCAGAAGCTCAACACCTTACCTTGGCAAGTTCACAGCAGAAGGAGAATTATATGTAGAACTATCTTTGTGAAGGCTGTAGTCATCATAGAGACGAGAGCATACTTTGCAACACACGTAAGCAGATATTAGAAATGCTTGGTGCTTCCAGCTCCGCCATTTTTAATGTAGTCAAGGCTCTGCCCCACTGGCGATTGTGATAAACTGCGAGATGACAGGTCACTGAAGAAAAAACAAAAATTATCATGTCCGCTTTGTTCCTTTTTTTAACCTCGTGTGAGAGTGTGAAGCAGATAATACCGTCTCTACCTCATGCTTCTTGTCCTCTAGGGAAATCGCTAATGAAAAGCGGCCTGGCTGGAAGTCTGGCAAGAGAAACCAGGGGGTGGAACAGTTTGCTCAGGAGCTCTGTAATTAGCCTTGACCACACCAAGTCGGCAATATAACAATTTCCTGATAGTGATGACTTTTGTTCTAGCGCATACTGGGACCTCTTGGGATCTAATGCAGGTATGGTGTTCACCACAGGGACAAGTAAAGATGTCTGTGAACGGTCAGTGCATAAAACACTAATTCCAGGACTTTCCGGGAATCTGCTCGTGGGAATGCACTGGAGAATATTCTGTGCTCGATGTCGGTCCAGCATGGAGTTCAGCTGTGCACACTAATTTTAATTCATTATATATGCCTTTTCTTCCCAGCACAAATGGACCCCCGAGGCCTATCTCCCAGACAAAGTAAAAGTGACAGTGATGATGATGACCTGCCAAATGTGACCTTAGATAGCGTTAATGAAACTGGATCCACGGCCCTTTCCATAGCCAGAGCAGTCCAAGAGTAAGTACCGCATTCCCAGAATGCAATGAGCATTGTAAGGTGATCGGTGGATAATGGGTCATGAAGCCTCTTGCTTCCTCAGGCGCGACATTCGGGCTCTCACCTGGCGCGTGTGGCTGTGTCTGTCCATTTTGCCTGCATGCTTTGGGAGCAGGTTGTAGCAAAGAATGGAATGTCTCAAAAGAGTGGGGGGTTTTGTTCTGTTAGATATAAGAACTCTACATCATTTCAAATACTCCTTTTACCCTTCCCTTCTGGAAAAGAAATTGTTCTTTTCTGAATATTGGTGTCCAATTATAGCCATCGTTATTTGCCTGCGAAGTGGAGGGCAATAGAATGTTTCAAGTATCCTTATCTTGGTATTTATTATGATTCTTTTCAATGCTTTTTAATTTTTAGTTTTAATTGTATGTGTGTATGCTCGTGACTGCAGTACTTGTAGAGGCCAGAAGAGGTCATCAGATCCCCTGGAGGTGACTACATGCAGTTCTGTGTGAGCAACCAACCCTGGTTAAAAATACATACTGCCTTCAACCTCTGGGCCATCTCTCCAGTCCCCCTTACATTGCTTTGATAGGAAACTATAGAACAGCTTTATGGGAGATTTAAATTGGGAGGGTGCTGTGTCAGGACTCTGGAGAACAGAAATCATAAGCACCTTTCCAATAAAGTTTTTCCTTCTTTGTTTTTTTTTTTCACTTAGACCACAGAATGAGAAACCAATCTTTGCTTGCAGAAAACAACTGCATTTGTATTGTCGTCTCCGTGTGGGACGGAACCTGTGGTGCCCTTGTGTACTTTTCTGTAGACGTTCTATGACAACCACATTTGTGTTCTGTCTAGGATAGAACATGTGCGTGTCCATGTGTACAATAGCATCTTTAACACTGTTAAGATAGAACTGACAAACTTGTGTGTATTTAAAATGTACAAGTTATGGCTGTGATAGGCTTCAGAACAGTGAAATGATCCCCACAGTCAAGTTAATTCATGTGCCCAACCTTTCACAAGGTACCTTTTTGTCGCTCCTCTTCAGGATCCTTAAGATCTATTTATTTTATTTTGTGTGTATGGGTACTTTGCTATATGAATGTATATATGAATGTCTGTCCATCTACCATGTACATGCCTGGTACCTTCAGAGGATGGGATCAACATTTGATTCCTTGGAACGGAAGTTATAGATAGTTGTAGGTCAACATATCGGTGTTTGGAATCGGACCCAGGTCCTCTGTAAGACCAGCAACTTCTCTTAACGGCTAAGCTATCTCTCCAGGGCAAGAGCTATTTCTTAACCAATGTCAAATGTACAGGACAGTGTTGGTAACTTTAGTTACCATGGGATACGCCAGAACATCAATTTACCTTTTTATTCTACTTGAAAGTTTTTCCTCCCCGCATCCCAGCTCTTGTAACCTACTACCCTGCTTTGCTTTTCTACGTTCAACTTGTATAACTCCACAAATTAATGGTAACTCTTTGATCTGCTTGGGAGATGCAGTTTCAAGCTGCAAGATTTTGTATAAAAATGCAAGTCCTTGTCCTTGAAAATATTCTCACAATCATGTGTGCATATTCAGGGGAGCTCGATTTATTATTCATGTTGGTGTTTTCATTAAAAGGTTAGTAAAGCATACGTCGAGTGTCTATCATCTAGAAAACTGCAGGATACCTGAATCATCAATGATTAATACACCATCCTTCAAGTCTGAGTCTGCATGCAAGCATTTAAAAGTACTTAGATGCTTTAGGTAAAACAACCAGAATATCGTGAAACAGTCTCTCTAATATAGATATATTTACAAATTTCTAGCAATATAGAGAAAAAATTTCACAGTGAGAATTATACAATCAATGTCAAATTACAGAAAATTCTGTTCACTGGTTTGGTTAGCATTAGCTTTCAGTGTTTTTCTTCAGTTGTGCCTCTGTCTTCTCACTCTTGTTTTCTCTTGACCTCCTGATGTGTGTAATTCTTTCACTATTACCTTCTCTTTCACCCCTTTCTCCTTGCTCTTCATCTGATGTCCAGTGTTAACTTACACTATCAAAGACACCAGTTTAACACAGAAATAAGGAGAAGATTTCAAAGGATTCCTGAGGGTCTTTCCGTTTTCTGTGCTTGTAGACCTGTCCTGAGACTATTGGGTGGAGAATCATGCAGGGAGGAAGATGGTGAAATCAGTTTTCTGCAGAGCAGACGAATGAGTTTTAAACTGTAAGGGAGTGAGTTCGTGGTTTGTTTTTTCCAGTTATAGGGCAGTGGCGTCCTGGTCTAAGGTCATCCTATGGTTTTCCTGCATCCTCTTGTTTAGCTGCAATGGAGAGTTGACCATGAGAGCAGAAAGATGGGCAAGGGAGAAGAAATGCAGGAAGATTGACATTAGGGTGTGTCAGACTTTTGTTGAAGACTCATAACATTAGGCTGAACTACAGAGCAGATGCGTCCAGCGGACACTCTCTGTACCTGTCCTGCTTGCTTAACTGTTTGTCAATTTGACACAAGCTCAAGGTTTCTTAGAGGAAGAACCACAATTGAGAATATACCTCCATCCAATTTGTCACAGGCAGGTCTGGGGGGGATATTTTCTTGATAAATGGCTTAAATAAGAGGACCAGGCTCACTGGGGGAATGCTGGAACATGGAACCCATGTTCCATGGTACTATAAGAAAGAAGACTGAGAAAGTCATGGAGAGCAAGTCAGTCATTTGTGTTTCTCCATGGCCTCTACTTCTGTTCCTGCCTCTAGGACCCTGCCTTGAGCTTCCCTGACTTCTCTGAATGATGGACTATGAGCTATAGGCTGAAATAAACCCCATCCTTCTCAAGGTGTATTTGGTCATTGTGTTTGTTACAGAAATAGAAAGCAAACCAAGACAGTTCTTGTATTCATTTGGATACAGTGTAGGATTGTGTACTGCAGTGTTGACAGAAAAAAACACAAATCTCATCTCACAAAAGATAAGACACAGTTTATTCTGTAGACAAATATGACAGACCCTGGCCCAGGAAAGGTCTCAAGTCAACTTGTTCCACTTGATAATAGGTTGATTAAAGTTTTATAGAAACAGAATGAATGAAGTCATGAATCAATGCCCTTTGACAGGGCATTGATGAGTAGAGGTAGGCAGTTTAAAGAAGAGTGGGGAGATCTCAGCTGCTGCCCTCAGATGGTATGTGACAGCATTTTTAGCCTTTTGATTGGTGGAAACATGGATCCTGTTTCTACATTACAAAGGATTTGTCTATTGATCACAAAAATGTTAGCTCACATGCAGAGGAGAGCAATAAGTTGTCATTAAGGGTGAAAGGGTGAAGTTTGGCTCAAAGTGATTTGGCTCTGGACTTCCAGCATTCCAACTCTCTGCGGTCACTAAGGAACCAATGAGTTCTTCAGTCCTACAGACATTTTAATGTGAGGTGTGGCTCTTTCCAGGAATATTCACAGGCAGCGTAGCTTGACTTTTAATGTAATGTCTTATTTATTAGCATTTGTATATAACAAATAAGCCTTAATATCCATTCGGCTGTTTTTTAAAGAGGATTTTTAATTAAAATATCCACACAGAATGAGCGTGTTCCATAAGCTCCAGTGTGAGGGAGCAGCATGTGGGAGTGCCCCCCCCCCAAAGAAATTTTAATCCTACCCAGGATCAAGCCAGTAGAGCAGGATTTGAGAGAATGGTCTCTGTCAGAGAGAGGAGGGAAGGACGAAGCTTTGGAGGAAGCAGATGAAAATGTTTTTTACTGGCATCCTGACATCTGTCCCTGTTAAAATAAAACCGTTTTTCAGTGACTTTTTGTCCATCACATTCACGCTACTTCCATCCTTTCGATGTCTCCTGTGTCCCATCTTATTAAGTTGCTTATGTGAAGTGCTTCTTCCTAGAGAAGCAACTTGGAGATTTCGGAAAAACAAATAAACTTATGTTTGCTACTTCTTTTGCCTAAGTGTGCTTCAAAAGAGAAAACAGAGTGTCCATTTAGACGTTGCAAGCTTACTTCCAACTTCCCCATAGCCAGTCCACACATCGTGCTACCTCTTAGAAAACTGTGTTTAATGATTCAAGAAGGTGCATTAGCTGGTGTTTTGAGGCTGCTTTTTGTTTCTTCATTTTTTTTTCTCATTCCAAACTTGTTAAAGAGTTAACACAGCCTTGCTTGCCTTAATTTCCTCCTGATGGTTCTGTTAATGTCTTTTAAATCACACCAGAGAACAGCTCTAGAGAGGAGAAAGGAAAGGAAACGAAAACTATTACGGGGAGCTTACAGTTGGCAGATTCTCTGAGAACGCATACAGTTTTCATTTCATCTGCCCTGTGGTACTGCCTTTATCACATCGAGGAAGAAAGCAGAAGCTCGGAGAGGTTGGCACTCCCCTTGAGGGTCCTGCAGCAAGTCATTTGCAGAGTTCCTAGTCAAATCAAGACTTTTGCAACCCTGCCACCTTCCCTTCGGAAGGGACAGTTGCAGGCTCGCTTTATGCTGTGAATTTCAGCTCTCAACTGTGGCTGTCTTAATGTATCTGTGCTGTTGAGCTCTAACTCCAGTAGGAACCAGCACAAGGGATCTAACTTTCTGCTCACCAAACTCATTCTTACTCTAAGTAGGATATCATTAAGGGAGAAAGACTTCTGTCAGGTAAATTCTCAGATACATCGTGGAAGGATTAATCGGCTGCTGCACCATGCATTATGTTGAAAGATGAAGAAATAAAATGCAAAACATTAGAGTGCTTTAAAAAGGAACATTCTCATTATTATATTTTAATTTAAGAGCTACTGCTGGGAGGAAATGTGATTTCAGGTATGTTTTCATGTAGCATATGTGCTGACACGTGAAAGACCCCAAATCATGTTCTTTTTAGGATTGCTTTCTGCTGAGCCGTGATGGGAAACGCATGACGGATGAGAGCATGGTGCCTTGCTTTTCCTTTCCCGCTGGGAGGTTTCAGAATCTGTGCATCTCTTCTGCTAGGAATGGGTCGACTGGGCACTG